TAACAAATTAGTCAATGCCCCTTGTGTATGTTTCTGGTAGAAGTTATCCATTACGATGAAACATCCTTGAAAACAAGAAAACATCCCGAGTTTCATTTGCGGTATGTGGGCACGTCCTGGTATGCGAGTGACAAATGCTGCTACAATGCTTGTTTAGTGAGAATGAAAAATAGTCGAATATATTCATCATATTCTCATTGTCTATTTAATGCTGTCTAACACATTGATCGTGAGCCTGTTCAAATCAAGTTCACTGGTTTAATATTGTTCATCTCAGAGATAGTAAAGAGTTTCCATGATGACCCAGTTGATCACATTGACTGTGTCCTACACAGTTTGCCAATAATCTGCATTTGCCTCAATGTAGCTTTAGCATGAAAATAATTTCGCGATGTTAACTGGTACACTTTCTTTGGTATGCTAATCGGGTCATACAGCTCCGATGCTGCAGTCAGCATAACTGTCAACAAGAAGGAGCTATAAAAGATGTAAGTTACACCAGAGATTCCTTGCACTGTGATCTCAACATGAGATGTCACAGTATTACGAATCTCTATGATGTGAAGTATACTGTGGCAGATTTCATCACCGCAATAGTCAACTGGCTCTGACTAAATTATCACTCACATGAGGAAAGATGACCAGGAACATTTACAGGGGCCATAAACATACGGTCTACAGACTCCCACAGGACATGCTCCATTTTCTTCTTAGAGAGTCTAGAGTAGAAGATCTCGAGGTGGAGAAAATATAAAACATGCAGATCCGTGTCAAGAAACGAACACGTCAAGGACACTTTTTCGGCTGCTACAGAAATCAACCCTAATTTAATGATGGTATCATGCAGCTCTAATGTCAACACATAGAACATGAGACATGTGGGAGTATACACTGGACTTAATCCTGGAGGTTTATTATGGTCGATCAGTATTCAACTGATATTTACTCTTCAATCTTGCAAACCAGCGACAAAGAGTTCAAAAAATGCAATGGCACCACTAGCAATGATGACTGTCAACATCTCTAGAATCACTGTGTTCAGACCACTGATGGGTTTCATGATGACTTGGCTGATCACGGATAACAATTGGATGATTTCTTATTTGCTAATAAACTCGTTTAGAGGCATTAATTATTGACAACAGGTAACTCACACTTCACTGATAGAGCAGTATGTGTTTATAGACACCAATGTGCATGAGTTATGTAGGGAGAGGTGTATAAATATTGAAAATTGTTCAGTAAATAATGGGGAATTTGCACACAATAAGCAGTAACGGAGCTGAGAGGGATAAGAAATGGATGAATCCTATATGTAAAACTAATGAACTAAAAGCAGCTAAAAACTTTTACAAACCTACCATGCTAAAACCTACCATGCTAAAGCCTAAAACACAACACTTCATTATGTATAATATTCTGACAATACATATGGGCAGGAACAGATGAATACTTTGCCTACAGTCATCATCTCATAGCTTCAAAGCACTACTTATTCCAAACATTTTATCACAAACCTCATCTTTGAATGATCAACATCCAGTCTGTTTTTAAGTCAACTCTGCATGTCAACTTTCTATAATAAACCTAACATCTACATAGTTTATCACTAGCATACTTTATCCTCTTCAAAGTAGTAATTTTTCCAAACATGTTTGCAATAATTTCACATTTGAATGATTTTTTTGCATCAATAATAATCTGCGTCTCAAAAGAAAGAATCAGCGTAAACATTATATTAACAAACTCAAATTTAGAGTATGTTTATGTATCTCCAATAGGAATTCTTGTCTCATTCTTCAAACAGCGTCTTGTTAAAATATTTTCATAAACTTCACATTTGAATGGTTTACCTCTGATATGTATCCTCCTGTGGTTCTTCAAATAACTCCTTTCTTTAAATATTTTATTGCATCTTTCACAGTTTAACAGATTAACCTCTGTATGTCTCCTCATTTCGATCTTCAAATGATTATACTGTCCATGATACATTTTATCATAAAGTTCGATGGCTTATCTCCAATATTCATCATGTTTTCCTTTGAACTTCTATTATTTCCAAAGCTTCGTGAGCCTAGTGTTTAGAGAATCTGTCACAGATATGGAAGGTTGTGGGTAAAATCCCTGGCCGAGTCATAGACTTACAAAAATGGTACCAATAACTGCCTCACTTGCTGCTCAATATTAAGAGGCTAATGTCAGGTGGGAGGGACATCCTACTACATGTCTGCAGAATGATCCCCCAGTTCTTGATAACTCTCTCAACTGTCACAAGCTGACATTTTAGTGATATAACTAAAAAATTGCTAACGCTATGGTAAAAATCAAAATTAAACACACACATCATTCTTTCCAATAATTGTAATATAAAGTTCATATTTAAATAGTTTATCTTCTGATGATACTTCAAATATGGTTAATTAACTGAAACCTTTTATCACAAAGTTAACATTTATTGTTTTATCTCCGGTGTGTATCCTCATGTGGCTTCTCAAATCAAAGTTTCTTCAGAACAATTTATTACTGTTTTATCTCCAGTATGTATTTTCATGTGACTCACCAAACTATTTCTATATCCAAACAATTTATGACACACATTACAACTGAATGGTTTGTCTCCAACATGTATCCTCATGTGTTTCTTCAACGAACCAATTTGTACAAACAATCTGTCACAGAGTTCACATTTGAATAGTTTATCTCCAGTATGTATCCTCATGTGATTCTTTAAAGTACTACTATATCCAAACTTTTTATCACAAACATCACATCTAAATGTTTTACCTCCAGTATGTATTCTCATGTGCATCTTCAAATTACAACTGAATCGAAACATTTTACTACAAACATCACATCTGAAAGATTTTTCTCCAGTATGTATCTTCATGTGCATCTTCAAACCATAATTTTGTCTAAACCTTACATCACAAACGTCACATCTGAATGGTTTTTCTCCAGTATGTATAAGCATGTGTGTCTTCAAGTGACCACTATGTTGAAATGTTTTATCACAAACTTCACATTTGAATGGTTTATCTCCAGTATGTATCCTCATGTGTATCTTCAAATTAAAACTGGTTTGAAACATTTTACTACAAACATCACATCTGAAACATTTCTCTCCAGTATGTATCTTCATGTGCATCTTCAAACCATAATTTTGTCTAAACCTTACATCACAAACTTCACATATGAATGGTTTTACTCCAGTATGTATAAGCATGTGCTTCTTCAAGTCACCATTTTCGTGAAATGTTTTATCACAAACTTCACATTTAAATGGTTTCTCTCCAGTATGTATCTTCATGTGCCGCTTTAAACTCCAACTTTTCCCAAACATTTTTTCACAAATTTTACATTTGTAGGGATTATCTTCATTATGTATCTCCATGTTGACCTTCAAATTACTTCCTGATTCAAACGTTTCATCACAAACTTTACAGCTTATAAAATCAACAGGATACTCTTAGATCCGCCTCACTAAACACTACAAGACATTCCAGGACACGACAAACCACACCAATATTAGAGATAATCACATCAAAGCTCACAAAATGGCATCATAAAAAGGAAACTGCTAATATTTTAGCGATGTTTTTTTTTCTTCTCTTCAACAGGAACTGTAGCGAGGCCAGGAGTTGTCAAGGGAAATAACTCCCTTTTGACGACGAGCAGCAGAGAGGCTGCACCCTACAACTGTCTAAATACCATAGTTGTGAATATTAAGGGTTCCCACGAAGGCTGAAAACATTTTTTTGTCATTTACAATGAAAACTTTTCTAATTCATCTAATTTTTGCTCGATTTCTTCACGATCTGGTCACTACGCGTAAGTCATTCAGCCTCTCTGCTGCTGTAAATTAAAAATCATTGATCAAAGATTTTATCTAAACCTACACGATACCTTGTCCTAGATCATGCAAATTTATCGTTATAAATCCAAATGGAATAGCATGTGCTTTAGAATATTTTTTTAAATTTAATCATATCCATGTACCCTGAACACCAAGTATAATAAATATTTTACAAATATAAATATCTACGCCATTAATTACAACCAAAATATTACAGTTGTCTCTGATCACGTATATCTCTGAGTAACATAAATCACGTCAGTATTTTTATGTCTACCTCGAGAAAATATTCTAGCTGGATTGGATTGTTTGTCCAGCATCACATTATCGTTCAGTACGAGGCCATTAATGAATCCATCTAAGTCATCAACCGATGGAGCTTCATCAATATCGGTAATAAAATCAATGATATCATTTTTGTCTTCGTCAAGTAATTTCGCATTTTGATTAAAATCTTTAAGCACTTCGTAACATCGTTGATCATCTACAGATGGCGCTACTAAACATAACTTATTCCACTTGAGCCATTGCATTATTAGATTAAGCAATAATTGAGTCTTACCAGATACAGATGGGCCTATTATGATCATTCTGATATAATTTGGTAACGAGGGATGGTGACTTACTGGCTCTTGTTTTCGTGTCGCAGAAAAGTAAATTATATCCAAATAATAATAATATGAGTTTATAATGCGTTCGATGTAGAGCAACAACATCCATGACGGCCTTTCAAATAAACTTAGACCTATCAACGATATACCGAGTTTTAAATGCAAGAGAATTTACCAAATAGTGTTTGTTCCCTGATTTTGAAGATTGTAATGTTTTGAACTTAGATTTGGTAATAATAGCTTCATCTTCCTAAATAATATCATCTCTTGTTGATTTGAACGAAGGTCATTAAAGGTTCTTTGGTTGAAAGAGACAAGTTCATCAAAATGAATCAATTATTTGTATGTTTTCATCGTCTTATGTGAGTGCAGCCATTTGGAATACATGTTTGCAAGACAGTTTAATGCGTCTGCTTAAGAAAGTGTTGGTCGACCGTCGATTTACACATCAGAAGAATTTCACATGATAGGTCTATGCGTATTGTATGAAGAATAAGAGAAAATTCTAATTTTAGTAGACACAATGTAAATGAACCGCTTCAGTGGCCTAGAGGATAGAGCGTCCGCCTTGGATGCAGAAGGTCGTGGGTTCGATTCCCGGTCGAGTCATACCAAAGATTTACAAAAATGGTACTAACAGCTGCCTCTCTTGACGATCAACATTAAGAGGTTAGTGTTAGGATTGGTCGACCTGGTGTCAGAATAATGTGACAGTGTGGGACATCATGCTACATGTCTGAGACATGATGCACCAGTCCTAGACATCACTATAAAAAAATCCACACTGCAGACATCGTAGCGATATGACTAAAAATATTGTTAAAGCTACGTTAAAAATCATAATCGAACCATATCACATCACATCACAAACTGTAAATCTCCCTATTATAACTGCTGGTTTAAAATATAATTCCACATACTATACTTTTCAAACTCAAAGTCGTTTTTAGCCGTGTTTAGTATTTTAGACGATTTACATCGTGGAATGTTCCTTGGTAATTAAACATGGAATGAAGGTTTTCCTCTGTGTTTCTTAGTCTAGATCTGCAAACGTTTTGATACAAGATTTCAGCGGCAAATCTCTCTCTCTCTCTCTCTCTCTCTCTCTCTCTCTCTCTCTCTCTCTCTCTCTCTCTCTCTCTCTCTCTCTCTCTCTCTCTCTCTACGCGATCGATCGCCCGTCAAATGTCAGTCTGCACATCAGCTTCGTCTTAGTACCTATTGTTAATAATATGTGCTGTCTATCTCAAATAACTTTTATTACTCGGAATAGAAAACGTAAAATGAACATCAACTGCTCTTCGTTACTTATGGTTCTCTCCTATTCTCCCAACTGGCAAAAACAGCCATTTTCACCAGATATAAATGTATTTCTTAACATTGCAAAGCTTTTTAATACTTCAACGCATATCAATGTGATAATTGAAATTACGCTTTGTCCTTGCCGTTTATTAAAAATTTTGCATTTGAATAGTTTACATCAAGATGGTATATTCAAGTTCTTCTTTTTGTAAACGGCTGCATTCTCTGAGAAGTGCAAAGCTTCACATTTAGATCACCTGTTTCAAGTATCATATCACTCATCAAATGAGAACTATATCAAATCTTTTGTTTTCAGATTATATGCTTGAATAGTTTATATGAATACTGTACCTTCATGTATTTTTAAATCAGCTATATTCTCTTGACAGTACAAAACATCACATTTGATTGACTTATTTCCAACAGTATCTTCATGTCACTCTTCAAATGAGTACAATACCCAAACATTCTGAAAGTGTGCTTCTCATACAGCTACAGTGACCATTACTAAATTCTTGTTGTTACTGTATAGAGATGATCATAATATTGCAAGATATATAGAATACAGACAGAAGAGAAAACATTTGTACAAAGGAAATCGTTATCTGTTTTTTAAATATATAAGTATGCATTAAAATAATATAAAGTACACAGATGCATGTAGCTTCCTTTCCATTTGCGCAATAAGCTTATCGCTTGCGAACTGTGGTCGGGTGAATAATTGTCCTGTAAGTAAGGGCATAATAACATACACAAAGATGTTGACTTTGCTTCTGTATCTTGCCATAGCTCGGATTTGGCAGGTTCCTTTCCAAAGATATGTCCTTCTTTGTCCAAATAACAAAATCACAATATTTCTTTTCACTTACAAAGATTTGTAATTGTAGCTGATAATAATACCGACGGCTTGTTTTCAATCGGTTGCCTTTGCCCGGGTATGAAATATTTTTAATTTTTATTTCAGCATCTCTGACATAATATGAACACTTTACTTTCACTGTTCCCTCTCCACAATAAGTACACGAGGCAAGAGCATCTGAAGATTCAGGAATGATTATGAGATCACATTCAACAACTGTGAGAATGTCATGAACAGGCAATAATTTGTTCTGTAGATATTCACTGCATCTTTTTTATGCTGGCATCCCCTATTTGTTGCCTTACTAGAAACTAATACTGTGTAACATGTCTCCTCTGGTATAAATCGATGGCTTATCAATGAATTATGTGCACTCCGCTTTCATTCGTGATGCTGTTATTCGTCTTGTTCTTTAGTCGGTGCCAGTCTTTAGGCTCAGCTTGTCCATTAGTGAGCCTCTATGCATTTTTACCTGACATGCAGTAACATTAATGTCTTGGAACAGATTTTCGCAATGTTTTACAAGTTCATTTTTAGACATTAGAGCACATTTATCATCTCTGAGTTCACAGATAGGCTTTGGAAGATCATTTGATATTGCCAAAGGATTAAAATGTTCAGCATACATGGGCATAATTGAAAGCACTAAAGGTTTGTCTTTGGTAAAAACAAAATTTGGTGAGAAGTCATCGAATTCAGCATCTAGTGGTGCAGAGACATCTGGGAGAGATTACTTTGGGGGGTGGAAGTTGATCCTTGCTATGAGTGTTTCCACAGATGGCGCTTTCCAGGTTCTTTTTCTTAGCATCAGCTGACGTGAAATCAATTTGAAAAATTTATGCATGCTCAACCTTTTCTGCGATTAATTGTAATGTCCAGTTTTCTTTCTCCTGAGTAACTGTCTTTGCATTTTCTACGCACACAGCTGTCACAATGTACAAAAGGAGTGCAACAATATGACTGCATGTCTCCCAAAAACTGGCCATACAATCACAATGGGCTGCCTCAACAATGCCATCTTTCTCTGAATTTTATCATGGTTTTAATATCATACTATTCTTAATCTGTGAGTGCCGCACCTAAAGATGCGGATAGAACTCTTGTTAGTTCTTTGGTTATTTTGAGCACTTTTAAATGATATATGTGCATAAGTAGAATTTTGCAACATCTGCATAAGAAAAAATATATATCTGTTTGTTTAATGTGTCCCCTCCGTCCCTGTTTTTTTGTTGCCAACCAGAATATACCCAAACCCTGTCCGTTATGGTTAAATCAAAATACCTCTAAACGTATCAGATATTAAAGGATGACTACATATGAGTCAGTGATAGAATCATATTTAATACTTGTTACTCACTTCCACTGCAAGGAAGTCTTTCACTCATCCATTGACAAATTGGTTGTAAGTTTCAAGTGCTTTGTAAGATTTCAAATCAACTAAGGTGTAAACACTTTTCGTGTTTACCAAATAATTTAAAATAAAAATATACCAAAGCATTGCACGTTACTCGTAATTTTTTTGTCATTCTATACTGATCAATTCCACCGATTAAGTTTAGCTGTAATTATATCTTTTTTTACATTTACTATTTTAGTTGTCTGATTACTTCCTCCTTTTCCTTTTTCACCCCATCTTTTTGCGAACTTTTTCGCCATTGTGTTAGTGTATTTTTAAGACATCCCATTCAGTTATTATGTCTATATTTCCCTTAGCCTTAATTTTATTTATTAGATTATTTATTTCGTTATAGAAATCTTCATCCTCCAAAATTTTGTTATTAAGCTTTCAGTTACCCTATTTTAAATTTGTCCTATTTTTACTATTATTTTAAAATCAGTTAGCTTATGGTGGGAAATCTTGATATCTTTTATATTTGTCTCTTTATATATTTCAGTTGTATCGTTTGTACCATGAAACTTGTCTAGTCCTTGTTTATATTCATCTGTGCATTCTATCCGTGATAAATTTAATCTTCTGTAGATGTCATTTGAATTATGCTTTTTTAAAAAGGATGTCATTTCATTTCTAAAAATTAGGTCGTTATGAGTTAAATTCCCTATCCTATCTACATTTTCTCCAAGCCAACTGAAGTCTCCTCCAATTATTACATTTTCAAATGAGTATTCGCTTACGTTTGTCTAAATTTTCGATAAAGTCCTGTATTTTGTGTTTGTTTGCTGGCATATGCATGATTATTATATGCAATTGGTTTAGTTTTTATATGCAATAGTCTTCCCACAAATAAAGGTTTTTAATTTATTTTTCCCATTTAATGTCTTTATTCTTTATTACAATTGTGACTTCTTTAACATCACTTGCTTTTTAATTATTTAAAATAACCACAGAATCTAGTTTTTCCTCTGTATATGCTTTTCTTTCATTTGTAAAACCATTGAGTTTCTTGTAAAAGTCTTGTATCATAACTTAATTTGTCAATTTTATCTCTGTCTATCACATTCATATTTATTAATGCTATCTGGAAGTTCCGCCCCTCCAATTTTGTTTTTCTACACAGGTGGCCAGATCTGTCATTTCTTATTAAGTTTCGTCTGTTCTAAGAGTTGTATCCTCCTCTTAATTTAATTTGACTTAATTTAATTTAATTTAATTCATTTATTTCAGGGCTCACTCCAGCTTTTGCCTCTATTTTGGAAGCGTCAGTTTCATTTGTTTGTTCTAATTGTTCTATTTCTCCTATTTCTGTCTCCATTTCCGCTTCCATTCCTGTTGTTTCCATTTTCATCATTTTCAACTTCTTCAACCATTTCCTTTTAATTGTTCCTGGTTTTTAGCCTGATCCTTGTCTTCATCCGTATCCGTCTCCGTGTCTATGAATGTCGTTTAGTCGTCTCTCATCTCTTTTTTCCGGCGTAGATTTCGTTCCATCGCTTTAGACATTTTGTGCAGGTTTATTTTCAGATGAGGATGTTGATATTTGTCTCGTGTTCCTGTTCGTTGTCTTTGTTTTAGATTACGATTGTCTTTGATCTTTTTGATTGTGGTGTCTCTATCGGAGTCGAAGTCAGGGGTCTATTTCCCAGTAAATATTCCAAAATGCTCTCTTGCTCACGAGGGCTCTGGACTCTCGAGCGTTTTTTTTTCTTCCTCGGTAGAAGAAAATAGCTTTTGCTTTCTAACAACCTCTCTTCATAGTTTTTCTTTTGCATTGGTCTTTTCATCTTTAAGGGGCTTCGGTAATTTTACCAACCTTGTTGCATTTCTCCCTCTCTCCTCTTCTTTATCATTAGTTTTTGTCTGGTCTATTATCTTTTCGACTTGTGTTTCTTCTGCTAATTGTGCATTTCCTGTTTTTTTTTCTTTTCTGATCTGAGAAACTATTCTCTCTCTCTCTCACACACACACACACACACACACACACACACACACACACACACATCTTTATCTTGTTCAGTAAATGAACTCTCTGCTACCTTACCCGCATATGTA